TAGTCCCCCATTAATTTTGGCTCAACCCTTGTCGAACGGCAGGGGTTGATTGGGAATATTTTGAGGCCACCTCCAAACTTGGCTTTGGCAAGGAGGAAAGTTTGGAGCTGGATCTGCAGTTAGAACCCTTCGTAGTGGAGATTCGAGTTGGAGCTTGGGGTGGGCTGGGAGCATTGGAGCTAGGAGCATAGGGGCTGAAATTTTGGAGCTTAGGCCCTTCAAAGGTTTTCATGCTCTCTCTTCAATTTTTCCAGCCTCTGCCGTTCGGCAAGGTGAGTTGGGATTGTGATGATGTGTTAGCTTCAGCAAGTTCGGATGCCTTGAGGAATTTCAGCATGAGTGCCGTTGAATTTTGAAGCTGCTGAAGCTCATTTGTTGTAGACATGCATTTTCCAATATGGTGAAAAGCATGTAAAAGACGAACAAATATAATAATGGGGTGGTGGGCTGCACTTGTGGTGAGTCAACACGTTCATAAAAATAATAATGGTGCTTGCATTATTCTAGTTGTTCTAGGCGATAATGGACAAAGATAAAAGTCTTATCTTTTTGCACAGAGTAGACATCTTTATATTGAAGTTGGGTCTGCTCCTTTCGCCATGCCAAGTGACTTTGACAGATTTTTTATTTTTTTTTGAAGGCTGAGCACTAGGATTGCACTAGTTCAATGACACAGCTACGGCAACTTTGGTTTGGCCTTCGGCGAGCTTAGGCCTTTTGAGTTTTTTTTGTTTTTGTTTTTTTTTTTGGTCGGCGAATCACGAGTCCACACGTTCAGCAAGCTTGGCTGCTGGTTTTGGGTGCTCAGAAAAAGCTTCAGCAAGGTCCTTGCCGATCGGCAAGGACGCAGGGAAGGGCCCTTTGTGACTTTGTTTTGGGGCTGAGCTGGTCCCTAGGCAAGTGGTTTTGAGCAAGGGTGTCTCCAGAGCTAGGCCATTTGAAATTTGGCAGGGCTCGGAATGACCTGTGCGCACGGGCTCATAGCTGGGCCATTTGAAATTCGATAGGTGGGTATTTGAAAGGCTGGATTTTTGGAGTCCTTCATTTCTTCTGCATGCTACATGGTTTATACTAATATTTTAATGAAACTTGACATGCAACATTCCAAATAAAATATATTTAAAAGAGATGTGGTATGGTTCACTTATCTCTTGGAAGTTTCGTGGGCTCTGAGACTTTCAATGTGATTGAAAGGTGGTTCCTTGGGCTGAAATGGTGGCTAGGCACGAGGGTGCCGAAGGCGATACAAAGCTTACATGTCGCAAAGCGATGTGGCTGGGCACAGAGGTGCCGAAGGCAACACAAAGCTTGCATGTCGCAAGGCGATGTGGCTGGGCACGGGGGTGCCGAAGGCAACATAAAGCTTGCATGTTGCAAGGCGATGTGGCTAGGCACGAGGGTGCCGAAGGCACAAAGCTTGCATGTTGCAAGGCAATGGGCCTAGGCACGAGGGTGCCGAAGGAGACACAAAGCTTGCATGTCGCAAGGTGATGTGGTTGGGCACGAGGGTGCCGAAGGCAACACAAAGCTTGCATGTCGCAAAGCGATGTGGCTGGGCACGAAGGTGCCGAAGGGGACACAAAGCTTGCGTGTTGCAAGGCAATGGGGCTAGGCACGGAGGTGCCGAAGGCAACAAAAATCTTGCATGTCGCAAGGCAATGTGGCTGGGCATGCGGGTGCCGAAGGCGACACAAAGCTTACGTGTCGCAAGGCAATGTGGCAAGGCACGGGGGTGCCAAAGGCGACACAAAGCTTGCATGTTGCAAGGCAATGTGGCTAGGCACGCGAATGCCGAAGGCAACACAAAGCTTGCGTGTCGCAAGGCGATGTGGTAAGGCACGGGGGTGCCAAAAGCGACACAAAGCTTGCATGTTGGAAGGCAATGTGGCTAGGCACGCGGGTGTCGAAGACGACACAAAGCTTGCATGTCGCAAGGCGATGTGGCTAGGCACGGGGGTGCTAAAGGCGACACAAAGCTTGCATGTTGCAAGGCGATGTGGCTAGGCACGGGAGTGCCGAAGGCATCGCACACGCTGAATGATGAAGATTGTACGGGTGCCGAAGGGCAGGGGCGGATCTATTAAGGCGCAAGGAGGTGCAGCTGCACCTCCCTTCGCCGGAAAAACCATTGTAGCTGCTTCAAATTGCCCCTTTGCTCAACTGGTGTACAGATTACCTTATTTCCATTTTCAACATTTAAGTAAATGTCTTTGTTTTTTTACTTTTATTTATTTTTATATTACTACATTTACTTAAGTTTACAATGTAAATAAGGAAGTACCCCCCATTTGGATTCAAATAAAAATACTAGAAAATCAAATTCCCACCAAATCAAAATATGAAAATTCGGTTTTAGTGCAAAATACGATTTAGGCTAAAAATGATGGCTCATTAAGTCAATATATACTTCATACTAAAATCCCATAAAATCAAGTTTTCTTATTTGATGTATAAGGAATAAAAGCCGCCAAAAATTATCTTGAGAAAATGATTATTCCGAAAAACCATTTTCATACTTAGTCAATATTGCACCTC